TCTAGCCGTTGGGGGTCATTAAATGCTCTGCAGGACACAAAGCTCGAGCTGCAGAATTGTCAGGAGAGCCGGCTTAACATCCTAGAGCCGGCTCTGTAGAGCCGGCTTACATTTCCAGAGCCGGCTATCCGGGTCTGCAGCACATTCTGTTTTCCTCGAGAGCCGGCTGCAAAACTTTGAGCCGGCTTTGGAACTCCGACTTTAAATACATTAAATACTCTTCAAATAACTTGACCGTTGTGCATTAAATGCACCCTCACAGCCGGCTTCAAAGCCAGAGCCGGCTTTGCGTCTTTTCTTCGCGCACGCCAAACAACGGTCTTCAAACTTTTGCCCGTAGAGCCGGCTGCAGCTTCTAGAGCCGGCTCTCTGCACTTCCATTTCACCACAGCCGGCTGCACTTTACAGGAGCCGGCTCTCTGCACATTGAATCCTTTTGGTCTATTTTTAGTGCAATCCAAGTTTACTTGCAATCTTTTAGCAACTTAACTACACACTTAAATAAACCAATTAGTCATTCAAATGTGTTTTGTAATCATCAAAATCATAGGTACAACAGATTGCAAAATATAAAGCGGCTTTACAGGTTTCCTGCACATTCTGTTTTCTTGGACAATCGATTGCAAAACGTAAAGTCGGCTTTGGGATTCCGACTTTAAAAACACTAATTAATCTTCAAATAACTCAACCATTGTGCATTAAATGCGCTCTTACAGCTAGCTGCAAAGTTAAAACCGTCTAAACATCTGTTTTCCGCGCGCACCAAACAACGGACTTCAAATTTTCACCCATAAAGCCGACTCTTAAAAACTGCAGTCGGCTCTCTGCATTTTTGCCTTCTAGAGCCGACTACACATTTTCTCTAGTCGGCTCTTTGCACATTTAAGCCTTTTGGTCCATTTTTAATGCAATCCAAGTTTACTTACTTTGCAATCTTTTGACATTTTAACTATAAACTTAAATAATCCAATTAGTCACTTAAATGTGTTTTGTAATCATCAAAATCATAAGTACAACAAGAATAACCTTTTTAATATTCTTGATGCATGAGTTAAGCGTAGTGCTACACGTAAAGAAATTATAAAGGTTGCTAAACTTGCATATAGATGCTTAAGTTTGAGTGGTAAAAAGTGGCCAAGGATGATAGAAATTGCTATGGAGTTGTAGCAGATTTGTTTTTTGGAAAACAATTCAAATAGTAAAAAAAAAAATCATGAAGAGATTACATATGTTAAAGACTGAAGTAACCAAATACTGGAATGTTGCTTTAGGAGCTTCTTCGTTATTAGATATAGATACGGAGTTACTATTTTCAAGTGAATCACAAGGATCCTAAGAAAAGAAAGTGGGCCCAAATGCCATATGATATTGATAGAGATATTAAGATTTTGTTTAATATGATTGTAGTTTTTTTCTTATTTTTTAAAATTTAGTAAATTAAAAAAAAAACTCATTTAGTTCATGTTTATTTGTCAAAATATTATCATGATTAATAAAGAAGTAGAACAAAAATAGTTTTAATATTATTAAACAAATTTATAGTTTCAATAATTTGTGTTTTTTCTTTGATGTTATTAGTTATTAGTGCTGAAAATTGTTTTAAACAAATGTTTTATTTTTTA